TCCTACGATCAGCGTGGATTGGTTGTAAAAAATGGTACTACGAAAACCAAATGCTTACTCACTTCCTTTTGTAGGGTTGAATTTTCACAAACGACAAGGTCAAGAGATGGCGGTGGTTCGTCAAAGTCATCCGTAAGTGAGCCCGACGACTCTCCAGCCTCATTGTACTGCAAAGTTCGTTTACTATGAATGTGTGAGTTTGAACGCAGGCTTACGCCCAAAGCTCAGCAACGATCTTGAAATACGACCTGAACGGGTAGTTCCGGTCAAGCTATTTAAGGTCGACATCTCTGGTCGAATAGGGATTGTAGGACTGCTTTCATTCTTGGGAGCGGGACCAGATGGCACAGCTAGCACAGCCTTACCTTGCCATCAACAGGTCACAACTCCTCTTTAACATTTCCTTTTCGTTTAACAACTTTATGAACTCACATAGGGTGCTGAACTGGCGAATTGAAGAGCTCCTGTACTCGAAGACTTCACTAGACTGAGCCGATTCTTAAAAAGGGTTCTTCAAAAAATTAATGAAATTCTAGAGAAACGACGTCAAATGTACTGTAAAGTCAGGAAATAGCTCCATGGTAAAAGTATACCGGCAAGGGGGGGGGGAGTGAGCAAAGAATAACCTTGCGCTCATGACGCGTACCATCAAGTTTTGAATGGCGATGCCTCAGGTGACTCACAAGGGAACCCCAACAGGTCGATCCGGCCATTCGTAATGAGATGTATATGTATGGACGTGTCTTGAGCCGCTGAATCCAAATCTGTTCTCCAAATTTGCGGAACGATTCTCTGAAGGGAGTTACGGACCCTTTAATCTTGGCTCAGTTTGCACAATTTGAAACTGCATGCGGCAAGCGGCCGATGGCCTAGTGGATATGCGCACTGCTTCAGAAACACGAGGTCGCATGTTGGAATCCTTGACTCTGAAAATTTTTTGCTTTTGTTTAAAACACTTGATATGAGCCACCAAAAAACTTCTGTTCAGCCGTTTCGCCTAGTTTTTCGATTATTTGCCAACGGAAGGCGGGCGATTCTCTTTTTGTGACTTCTTTTAAAAACTTTTATCATAAGGCTAACCGTTTCCAGAGATTGCATCAATGAATGAGGATCTTAAGGTTTAGGAGCACATATGGTATTCTTCCACGAAATGGTAGAAACAACTTCTCAAAATGAGCACAGCGAATGAAAAAGTACTCTGCACACACGGTACACTTACAGTTCTCCACCACTCCAGAGGGGAAGCAGCACTGAAGAGGTGTTTCGAACTCACCAGGATGTGCATCGAAGTATCCAGCCGAGTACCAAGAACATGATAAGAAGTTTTTGAATCTATGTGAACAAAACTGAGAATAAATAAGAGACAAAAGACGGAGGATGGAGTCCCTTTGATGTACAGAAAAATCTTATATTATGGGCCAATACATAAGAAGTAAAGCGTTTATACATAGCTTTAAACGGTAAGAAGAAGTACACGTCTAAAGGTTGGATCAAGGACGTAGCACCTGGTGGTATATTCAGTACTTTCACACATTTATTAGGTGGCAGAGCAGATCGAATGGATTCATGATCTTTAAAGGAACTCCACGAGTCGACTATGAGGAGCGTCGACTGGGGGGACCCTGGAGCGGCCACGCAGGATTCAATCCAATCCAGCATAAGCTGTTTAGACATTATATGAGTTTTGCTCGCTCGAACCAACAAGTTATCAGCTTGAAAATGCCCTTTGGAAGGGAAAACTCCACTGGGTTCCTATTATAATATTACATATGACATTATATAATAATATATTAATACCATATGTGCTCCTAAACCTTAAGATCCTCATTCATTGATGCAATCTCTGGAAACGGTTAGCCTTATGATAAAAGTTTTCAAAAGAAGTCACAAAAAGAGAATCGCCCGCCTTCCGTTGGCAAATAATCGAAAAACTAGGCGAAACGGCTGAACAGAAGTTTTTTGGTGGCTCATATCAAGTGTTTTAAACAAAAGCAAAAAATTTCAGAGTCAAGGATTCCAACATGCGACCTCGTGTTTCTGAAGCAGTGCGCATATCCACTAGGCCATCGGCCGCTTGCCGCATGCAGTTATCCTTCTCAACTTGTGCAAACTGAGCCAAGATTAAATGGTCCGTAACTCCCTTCAGAGAATCGTTCCGCAAATTTGGAGAACAGATTTGGATTCAGCGGCTCAAGACACGTCCATACATATACATCTCATTACGAATGGCCGGATCGACCTGTTGGGGTTCCCTTGTCAGATGCATGGCCAATCCTGTGTTAACTGCTCAAATCAATTCACTCTCAGATTTTACCTCAGGCTCCCATAAGCGCCATACCCGGCAAAATCGAGCAACTCCCCTGGTGCGTTTACCCGTGGAGCTTACAATCAGTATTCAATTCTCAGTGGTCCGTACTTTATTCACGGGAGTTGCTCGATTTGGCCGGCTATGGCGCTCTGCATTTGATTTCTTACTGCACGAATATGCCTGCTAAAATGCATAAAAGATAGCCACAGAGCTGTCCATATGTAGGGATAAGTAGAAGACTAGGCAGTACGTTGTGGAACATCACAGGAGACACGTATTTCTGCAACCCTGCTCTGCCGCGCGCGCCAAGCGGCGCGACAATTTTGCGTGGTTGAAATATGAAATGCGCGTCCCCCGTCCCCAAGGGAAGCTACATTGACGGCATGTTTCAGAAAAAAAATAACAAATGGGAAATGTCTCAAAATATACCATTTTGTTCCGTTGGTTCAGGTCCGATTGAGATTTTGGCTTGAAAGACGAGATGAACTTTTTCGCCTTTCTCCAGTTTTCATATCGGGATTCCTCCAATCGTGCTGTCTTCAGGTCTCCAACAGACCGACCCTTGCTGAAAAGTTTAGAGTAAGACATCAGAATCCATCTACAGCTGACTGGCCTGTTAACCTTGTTGATGGCTTATCCATGGCGTGTACCAGTGCCAGTTCGGATTTCCTTCGATATCCATGGCTTGGCGAGCGCATGGTGAACTGCTTCTCGTCTATACTCATGAAAATATATTAGACGTTGCACTGGAGACTGCATAGAATACATAAAACCAAAAAAATTCCGGAGTTATACGTAACCGTATTGCATCCCGAACTTGGCAAAGTTATCTCGCTCACCTTTTCTAAGATGAGCTGACTGAGCGTTGATATAGTTGGGTAGGCTCTTACGGTGCAGAACATTAGCTGAAGACCTTGAATTCGTTTTCGAAACTGTTCACTACAAAAATGTTCAACAGAATGTAGTGCTATTCTACAAATTACCCAGTCGATTTTGGATGATGCTGTCCTTGTTCTCGTAGTTTTCGTACGCCGTTGTCACAGCAGGCTCAAATCGGCTTGCTTTTCTCGACGCGGCGTACACTGGAAAGGAGCTATTGATCTTCTATAGCCTTCTATTATAGTAACCCTCTTTAGGCAAGGGTTACTACCTAAGGGGTACAAAGATAGCAGAGAAGCGGACCGGTACAAGCACGGTACGCCATCGTTGTGATAACCACAACGGGAGGTCGTATTTGGTCCGAGAAAAAAACTTTTTTTTATTTTGGTTTCCTGTTTCACGGGCGCTATGAAGCCTATGAAGAAGAGGGGTTGTATTTGCTCGTTGTTGAGAGGGGGTCGTATTTACCTTTGAGAGGAATTTGCGGCGTTGTGAAAAACTTTTCTCGGTTGCTGACTTTTGCGGTTTTTCCCGTCTACTATTTCCGATAGTTGAAAAAATAGCTAGTTCCTGACGAACTCCCTCCGCCTCCCCCCCCCCCACTCCGCTCGACAGCAAAATTCTGGGGAAAAACTAGAAATTTTTCGGGAAATGCCGGAAAACTGGTAGGAACTTGGGAAAATCTGGGGAAGTGGTAGGTGGGATGAGAAGACAGAAGAGGAGGGTCGTGTCAGAGGATGGAATTAGGAGGCTCGTATCTTGCAGAAATTTACCACAGCGCGATGGCGTGCCCTGGGTACAGGAGCGTACTAATTGTAAGCAGCCCTATTTTTAATACCCTTACCAAAACAACACGAACTGTGGTGCAAAAGCCCAACACTGAAAAATATAAGGTGATTTTGCATTTGAAAATTTACTAACATCGCTCTCTATCCGATCCTCCTCGCTCTCGATCCAGAATCGGCTTTGATACACTATGCCGGCCAATGTTCACATAATTCACTGTCGGCTCATCTCGAGTCACCGTTGCCTTGGTGTTGTGATAGAAAGCCACTGAAAATATTTTTTTTGAAACCACAAAAAAGTTTTCCATGATTTTTCTTACGTGAATTAGCTCGAGCAAGGTTGCTGTGGACCTTGGGACCGCTAGCACCTCCCACTTGAAATCTAGAAATAGAAGGATAAAATAATAATAAGGTAAGTGCTGTGTACTCTATAAAGGGTAAATTCCAGAAGGTCACACTTCTTTCGTAACGCTAGTGAATGGGCGCTGTTCGGCTTAGAAGGGGCGTTCCGCACTTTCACTGGGTAGTTGTTAATTCAGTTTATTAAATAATGGGTCTCATTTTGGGAAAACCACTGTACACCTCAAAACTGTAAAACAGCGCGAATGAACTGATTCTGTCACAGGATTCCACAGGTTTTTACATGGTGAACTTTACAAGTTTAGCTGAGTAACGTCCGTTCCCCAACCAAACCGAACTGCATCTAAATTTCAATGGATAGAAAAAGGCCGCTAATTGTAAACCATACCCTGACTTGGACTTCTCCTTGTCCAGGTTCACCCGTTTCGATTGCTTTGACTGTTCGATATTGAAAAAATTAAATAATCCGCTCAATGTATGAGAGAACTGCGATTCGGTGTCTCCTTGCTCTATTCGTTTTGGGACCACAAAATCGGGCATCCAATCGCCTTCTGAGTTCTTTTTGCTCAGGTATCGATGCAACCCTCTCTGAAATGATTATCTTGAATTTTATGGTTAATTGAAGGCAAAGATTAGAAAAAAAGGCAGAATACTGATCACAGAACGCAGTAAATACACAGAGCCTTGCTTGCTGCGAAGGGCTGTATCAACGGGTGGGTTTGGCACGGCGCCAACTCGTTTTTTTTCGTTTTTTTTCTTTCGGCAAGCGACGAGACCGTACTAAATCATTCGTATCAGTCATTTTCCACCAGTTTTCCGCTTACCCGCGTCTAGTGGTGAACAATTGCGCGCCAACCCAGCCTCACTGACACGCCCATCATCCACAGCGAACAACACTGCCTAGCTACTAGATTGCCCGAGGAACTGTTGGTCTTTGCAGGTCTATCACAGTGCTAGACAAACCTATTCGAATGAAAACCACTAAATCCTACAGGTTTCTCTTGAAAAGCAGTAGATGAACACAATCCCGCAAAATAGAACTTTGATGTTCAGCAGCTGATGGGTTTGGTGAAGATAGTTCCCACAAGAGCGAAGTCGATGAACCATTGCTCATGCAGTAAGATCCCCAGGTGCTTAAAGAGATGACAAGCAGTGGGCGAGAGCTCTTACGAATGTTGTAGATAAGGTGCAGGGGGGGGGCGATAGCCTGGCTCCTTCAGATTTTGCAGCACCCGTTGTGCGACATGTGGCCGCGCGTTCTCATAGAGGTCGAGCAATCATTTTCTTTTGACCGATGTCGGGAGCAGGCTTTGGAGAATTTAGTGCATTTCACCAATCCGCGCCCGTACTTGTTGCCGGGATCGCTCTACTCGCACTTGGAAAGCTATGGCGAATAACACCGTCGCATGTCACCCAGCGGTGAGCATCACCTTCTACTGGTGCATTTTCGGTCCATAAAAATCGTGTTGAGCTT